GGGGCGGACGCCGGCTGGGCGGGGGTCATTTGTATGTCGTTAGCATGTAATTTGCATAGACCATATGCTCACTCTTCAGGACCCCAGGGGAGGGAGGGAGAAAGCGGGTGATGAAGAGACTCCATCTCCCAGCGGGAAGGGGAAGGGAAGCCAGGATGGGGGACCCCTTCTCTGAGGGCTTTGGCTGCCCAGGGTCCTTCCGATGCCAGGCCCCTCTGTCCTCGCCCCCAGCCAGCCAGCCCTCGATATGCATTGTTTAACGTGTGACTACTACTAAGTTACAGTAAGTAAGACAGTGTAGTCCCGGCACAAGGACGGACACAGTGGGTCCAATGGGATAGAGTTGATTTTCCACACCAGAGCTGAGGTCCAATGTGGGGAGCGGAGTCTTTTCAGTAGATGGTTCCAGAACAATCGGGTATCCTCGTGGGAAAGAATGAGGCTGGGCTTCTACACTGCACCCTGTAAAGAAAAACATAAAAAGAATCATAGATGGAGATGTGAGGCCTCAAGCTATAAAACTCTTAGAAGAAAGCATGGGAGCAAATCTTCATAACCTTAAATGAGGCGACGGATTCCTACATGTGACACCACAAGCACAAGTGACCAAGGAAGAAACACAGAAATTGGACGTCATCACGAGACCAAAGGACAGACACCACCAGGGAAGCGTAACTCTCAGGATGGGAGCAACGATTTGCATCTGATAAGGGACTTGTCCTGAGAACGCTTCCAACTCAGCAATGAAAAGACAGGCCCAGTAAAAAGTGGGCAAAGGATCTGAGTAGCTGTTTCTCCAAAGCAGATGTGCAATTGGCCAACAAGCACATGAAAAGATGCTCAACACCCTTATTCATCGGGGAAATGCAAATCAAACCCACAAGGACATACCATTTGCCACCCAGGAAGATGGCCTCACGTCTGGGTGTGTCACAGAGACGATACTTGTGTCGAGTTGGAAGGCGCGTCTTAGACATGTCATCGCTGTGCCTGTGGTTCTTTCTTTTTTTTTTTTTGGCCAACTGTCTCAGTGCCGGGGCTGGCTCTGACACGGAGGGTATTCAGTTTAACTTGAAGGTGTCTGGATATAAACATTGGGAGTGTTGTGGGCAGTTAGATCTGAGCAGAGCGAGGACGATGGAGCAGGAGCAGAAGGTCACCAGGGAGGAAAGCCCGGTGCCTAGCAAGGGGCAAACCTGGGAAAGCAAGGACCTCGCCCCCAGTGTGACCTTTCCTGCCCTAGCATCTCGCTGGTCATGTGGTTTAGACCCCCTGACTTTTCCTCCCTAAAGATAACCTCTAGGCCTCAGTGGTATTGCAGTTCCAGGCCCAGAAGAGCAGCAAAACCAGACCAGTGACCCTGTGGCTGCCTCAGGCCCAGCTGCATTGACTCAGGACTCCCCCTGCCCTGGCACCGACCAATCAGTGGAGACCATGACCCTGAAAGAGCACAGCTGGAAAGCTGATGGCTATTCTATTAAGACCCTCTCCTGAGCCCTCCCCTAAGATTTCCACCTGCAAGAGAGAGAGAAATTGTGGGAAGCCGCCTATTGTCTTCTCTAGCAGAGAGGTGTGGACAAGGAGCCTGAAATGCTGGTGACCCTTGAGCCCTGGCAAAGGTCAAGGCTACGCACCCACTGTTTAGTCCAGACAATGGTAGCTGAAGCAACTTCCCCACCAAAGAGTCATGTAAATCCTTACTGAGAAGATTGTCTGTTACTGGAAATTGCCTGCCTAAGGGCTACAGGTGGATCCCAAACTGAATAAAAGGATGGCAAGGCCAGAGCCCAACTGGAGTCCTTCCTCTTGGGATGGGCTCCCGCCTGGCCCCCCAATTTCCAAGTTATTATTTCTTGTCTCCTCTCTTTCATTTGCGTGCTGCCCCTTCTCCAGAGTCTGAACCCTGAACCACGCGGGACGTGGGTCATTCACAATAAATACCCTCAATGCAAAGGACCCAGCTCCAACTCCCCCCAGGGAGCACACCCCCAGTGACGGTGAACCTTTTCAGCTGGGCGTGTCAGCATTTGGAAAAACCCTAACTTAACTCTGGTGCCACATATAGAAATTTTTTTATATTTGCAACCATAGTAAAACAAAGATGTATATTTTGGATATTTATTTTATATATTTAAATGCCATTTAACAAAGAAAAATCAACCCAAAAAATGAGTTTCCGTGTCACCTCTGACACGCGTGTCATAGGTTCGCCACCTTAGCCATTCCCTTCCCCCTTCTTCCCTCTAAGGGACCCCACGAGACTTGCAACCAGGGTAGCAGTGGGCAGTGGCAACTCATCCTGAGCGAACCCCCTGAACCTGTTGCGAAGGCCCCCTGTCCTCTGACTCCCCAGTGAGCCAGAGCAGCCCCGCCTGGCTCTCCTGTGGCTGCTTCTATGCTAAGCCCCTCCTTGGCTCTCTGTCCTGAGTGCTCTTGCTGCGGCCAATGAGTTCTTGCTTGCTCTGCTGCACTTTGTCTCTTGATTGAAATCTTTCCTTCAAGAAGACAAGAACCGAGGTCTCGTCGTCTCGCCAGTAACAGGAGGAGGGGATGGGATCTAGTAAGATTTCTCTTATGACCTATAGGATGATCCCAGACCTAGGGAGGTCCGGATGGGGGACAGAGAGGATATACTTGGGGGTCTGCACCATCTTGGGCTCCTTATCTCAGCCTGGCCAGGTTGTGATGTTGGGGGACCCTGGCACTCAGTACAGGCTGGGTGCAGTCCTCCACCCCCATCCCTGGGTACCCTGGCAGGGCGCAGGGACTCCATACCCAGGGACTTCCTGGAGGATCCTGTCCTCTCTGAAAAAATCAACTCCACTGTGGATTCACCTGCACTTCAACCTGTGCTTCCTCAAGATGACGTTGATGGAGTTGTGGAGCACCCCCTCCACCATCCTGGACCCCGGGTGCCTTTACAGAAAGAGTTCCCGTCAGGCTGGGGCCTGGTCCCTGTGGCTGTAGCCCTCAGAGCCAGGGCCTCCGGCTCCCACAGGCAGTCCCCACCGCCTTCCTCTGTGACTCTGTCCCCTAAGAGGGCGTCTCAGCACACAGCCTAGCCCCCAGTTTTGTTAGCGTGACCAGAGTGGAAGGGGTCGTCATCCTATAGAAAGGGGAACTGGGCCACCTCCTCGAAGAGAGGGGGAGGCGCTTGCTCAAAATCAGAAATCTTCAGAAATCAATAATCAATCACTGGTGGTTAACTGCCTCCTGCCACTGCCATACATCAGTGATAACAACCGGCACCTCGTTCTCTTGCTGTTCTGCGGAGCCCCCTGCCGGCTTTGGTCTGCGTGCGCATGTGGCTGTGCTCTCTTCCCAGAAC